GAACTGCTGCTTCCAGCCCATCCAAGACTTTGAAAGCCTACGCTGAAGCCAGGAATCCATCCCATTCAGTGGATTACAACTCTTGCAAGCAGGCAACTATGGGTACCTCTGATCCAGACCTGCTCAACTGTAAGGCGTGAAAGTTTATAAACTGTCACAATCTCAAACAAACGTTGACAAGGAAAGGTGCAAAAGTGAGACAAAGACTGAATTAGTCCAAACAAAAGGGCCTATTGATATAACTCAAGGACTGTGTTAAGATCATGCTTCGTAAACCAAAAAAAAAAAAGTGTGGAACCATAAACCAGTGCACCAAAAATCAGTGTGTTGAATACTAGGCCTAACTGGTGAGCAAAATAATGAGGGGATGGGCTAGTTGGTCCATCACATCCCTTCTGGAGTCCTCGAAGAAAGAAACTTTGGGGAGAAAAATTGGCTACTGGAACAAGCTTCACCATCATGGCTGCCGCTGCCATCCTCACTGTCTCTTGGGACCCTGGACCTTTGTCATCCTAATCCTGAGGGACATCCTGACCAGGCAGAGCCAAAAAGGGAGCCAAACAGCATTAGGGTTGCCAACCCTCCAGGAATTAAAGATTATGTCATGTGATGAAAGATCCGACAACATTTCCACCTCCACCAGCTCTGGCTGAATCCCAACCCCCACATGGGATGTGAGACGTCTCCCCTTACCACCTCCCTCTGTGTCCTTTTCCTTCCCTATCTTATTTCTTCTCTTTCCTATCTCTCCAGTTCTCTCTAGTGAGAGTGTAGCCTAGCCAGCCAAGACTGCATATTTTGCAACACTGCTGTAGGCCTGTGATCTGAAAGAGGCAGCTAAAAGCAATGCCCTGCAGCATCTGGGCCCTGAACAGAACTACACCAGGTTTAGGGATACAGTGCCACAAGCAAGAGAACCCCACTGCTTAGCCTGGGTTAGCCCTAAAGGACATGAAGCTTCTGTAATAAGCAACTTTCTTTATTACTTTTTAAAATTTAAGATAATAACTCATTTGTGTATATGTTTCCCTGCTTGAACTTTGTAAAAAAACTCGTTTCTTTTTCCTACTTAACAAATATTTATATAGTTTATTATAGGCTTGGCTACAAACATAGTCTTTGGTATGAAATCTGAGTGCAATTGACCTGGGTAAGTGACTGGTCCTTTGGGAGTAACTTGAATATTGGTGTGATTCTTGGTGTAAGGGCCCATCTGTCACGAGGATATGTTCACTTGGATGGCAAGATAGAGTAGCCAAGGGGACTGTCTGACTCCACGTTCAGGCTCTTCTAGTGCCTGAGGAGTTTACACTTGATAATTGGTAGGTGAAATCTAAGTATAAAAGTCACAACCAATTTGAGTTGTGATTCTTAACAGTCTGCCCTGAGTTGGTACTCATGCTCTTAAGTCACTGCAGGCAGCATTACAGCTAGGGCAAAGAATTATTCCATCAGTTTAGTGCTGTCTACACCAAGGATTAGATCAGTTTAACTACGTTGCTTAGGAGTGTAGATTTTTCACACTTTTGAGACGCTGCTATGCTGATGTACCTTTGGAGTACAGACCAGTGCATAGTGAAACACAGGCCCTGCCTTGGAGAGTTTACCATCTAAATAGACAAGACAGCTGAAGGGTGGGAAGAGAGGCACAGAAGGGTGGTGACTTGCCCAACGTCATCCAGCAGGTTGGTGGCAGAGCTAGGAACAGAACCCCAGGTCTCCAGTCTCCCAGGCCAGTGTTCTGCTGACTAGACCCCTATCTGAAAGCCTGCCATGCAGTTGGAACCGAACGGCATCATGGGGAATTCAAGCTCATGCTCAGGAGATTCTGGCTTCCAACTTGGTTGATAGATTAATTCCTTTGCCCCACTAGCTTTTGCTATGATAACTCTTTGAAGGGCAATTTCAGGAGGAGGAAGAACCATGTCTCCCCTTCTTACTACACATAAGCCCTCGCTGCCCAAAGGAGACAGCACAGACTGGTAACACCAGGGCTGGCTCAAGCCTCCCACTCTGCACTGTATCTGTCTGGCAGGGGCACCAGGGAGAGAAGATATCTGCCTTCCCCTTCTTACTACTGACATTTGTGAGGAGAAGGGATTTTATTTTCCATATGAAACCCAAGGTTTGGGTAGCTTGAATTTACTGCTAGCCTGGGGAGAGCACCACTGAGCCAGACACCTCTCCCCCTGCAGCTTACACCTGCCTCCAATCTAACCACGGTGCCCAGAGCTGGTAAGTAGTGTAAAAAGAGTGCAGTATCTGATGCTGGAACACAAGATAGTCTGCACACTCTGGGACATGCACTGCACTGGAATACCAGGGGATGGGGTCTCTGCAAGAGAGATAAATAACACGGGGGGAGATGAGCATTATATGAAGGTCATCAACAAACTGCAAGCGTGTGATGGACTCACTGGCGATGACAGGAACTTTCTAGCTCAAGCACTTTGCAACCCAACTGAACTGCATGGCTAATTTATACCTGTGCTGAGCCCACCAGCCCAGCAATTACCCTGTAAAATACAGAAGGGGAAACATGTGCTTGCTTTGACTGAACATTATTTATTTGACTTGAAAGGCATAAACTTTCACTACAGTCACTTTAACACAAAAGTTTTGCTGGTCAATAACCCTGCAGTGGAACTTGACCTGTCTGGGCTGCAGCAACAGAGGCATTACATCGTGGAGCAGGGCAAGGACAGTCCCTCTGTATAATGCACCTGAAAATAGCAAAATCTGTCTGGGTTCTTCTATACCAAGAGGATCATCAGTGAGGAGTAGTCACAGAAAACTAACTTGCCCTGCAAGCCCACCCAGGGAATTAAAAGAACAAACTCCCCACACCTGCATGGCTTATCTAGATCACCCCTCTGGACAGTGTGTATGTTGGAAGTGGGGGTGGGAACTGGGAGTTCCCTCTCCCACTGACTCTGTGCACAGGGAATGGACAGAGATGTGGGGAAATAAGTGAAGCTTTGGAGTTTGGCTAAGTGACCTCCCTGAGGAGAGGGACATGGTAAGAGAATGCAAATACCTGAAGGGCATGAATGATTACCAAGCAAGGAGAGGAATTAGTAACACCAAATCCACACACTTCATAGCCAAACATTTTACAGAGCTCTCTAATGAAAGCCCCGAGAGTGCTGATTATTTGGGGGTTACAATCGGGGAGAATGAGAAAGAAGGGGATGAAAGGAAAATATAGGCTGAGCCCCAGGAAAAAGCTTCCTAGAGACTGACAATTAGGAATGGACAGATGAGGACGCATTTCACACTGTAGTGGCTGCATCACTATGCTGGGGCTTCATGTTTTTTAATTTCTCCTGGCAGATTAATACTGAGGCTGTGAGCAGAGGGCAGAAGAGATCAAGAGACAAGGTGGGGGAAAGGAAGTTTGAAGGGCTTGAGGAGAATGCCAGGGGTGGGATTAACATCAACCAGAAAAGTGCTGAGACCAGCATGTCTCCCTTCACACTGAAGTCTCCTGCCTCACAGGAAAGTCTGACCTTGACTATCAGCTGCCAAACTATAGATGCTGTTTCCCCCAAACCAGGTTAGCCTCCTCCTCACAGACCTGGCTGCACAAAAGGCCCTTGTTCAGAGTCCTTATCTGGCTCAGGATGGGGAGGAGCCGGAAAGTCCTGCTGCTTAATGTCCTGTACAGATGCCAGGAGTCGTCAGAGCTCTGCATTGGATTCATTAGGGGCTGGCTGGCTGGCTGGCAGGAGCAGCACTTTGCTAGTGCAGGTAATGAGGGAAACATCTCAGCACAGGGCACGTTAAAAATAAAGCAGTAAAAATAACAGCCCACTTATATGTGAGATTCATTTGGGTCCCCACGCCACAGAGTCCCTGCTGGGGGAGAAGGAGCCTCCTCCCACTGGTGTGGGTATTTTAGTAGGCAATGCTGCAGCCTGGCCATTTAGACGAGAACTGTCTGGGTTATGAGGTCAGTAGTGGAGGGAATAGCCTTGGCGGCAGCACACAGCCACTGCAGGCAGCAGTTCCATAGGGACATGACCAAGGGAGCAGGTGAACCATGAAGTCAGCTAGCAGCAGAGCTAGGGACAGAATGCAGAAGCCCTGACTCAGGCTAGTGGCAGGGGGAAGGCACGGCCTTCTGAAGTGAAGTGTACTGGCTTTAGCTTTGCCCCATGAGAGCTGGAAGGGGTGGGCGCAGGGGGCAGCCTGTCACTCATTTCCCTCACTCCTATTCTTAGGCCCTTTCTTCTCCCATTTCCTTTGTTTCAATCTTCAATGAACAGGAAGAAAAGGGAAGGAGCCTTGACAAATCCGATCAAGGTTTAGACAAGCCAGGCCATGCACTAATGAGGGGCGGGGGAGGCAGCAGAGGAGAATGACAGCCCCCAAAAATGCTTGGTGCACAGAGGGAGAGGGATTCATGCCAAACAGGGCAAAGAGCCACAAGGAGCAGGTCCCCAGTCTGCTAAAATAAATTGCTGAGGGGTCCCTTCTGGTCCTCCACCCTAAAATGGACTTTTCCCTTCCAATCCTTTAATTCTCAAGTGAAGTAGCCCAGGACTCTGCCACTGTATCCAACTGAATTTGAAATTTAGAGATCAAAGGTTCTCTGGAAACAAGAGGATTTGAGGAGGGGAATCTCCAAATGTGCATTAAAGGGACATCTCTTTGTAACAGACACAAAGGAAGATCCTTTGCTCACCAGGGTTTAGGTGGGCAAAAAAGGACAAATGTTCTTCCTCCTTCTTTTACAAGGCAGGTGCTGTGGGAGGCTAACAGGAATCTCAGGGGCTGTCCTGTGGACTTAGCACACCCCCTAACCAGGGATGAGGAGTGGTGCCTGGCAATAAGTGACTGAGTAGAATGCGCCATTGAACAGAGAGGGAGCCAGCAATCCCAACATCCTTCCCCATCTTACCTTCTACCCTAACCTCACTGGTCTGTGCAAGAAGAGACTGGGATAGCAGGAGACTGAGTATCTTTAACTTCTCTACAAGAGGAGCAAGAAAACCAACCTTTGGAAGATGCTGAGGTGACAGGGCTATCAGGGACACTGGGAGCAGCTGGCTCCTGTACTGGAGATCTGGTGGTAACACATTGGTTGAGGAGAAGCTTCCCCAGTTACAGGTTCATGGCTTCTGTGGGCAGAGAGCAGGGGTAGCACCAGTATCACAGAGACTTCTGGTTCCAGCTAAGTTTGGGGTCGTCCCAGCTCACCATCACCTGGAAACCCAAAAGACAAAAACTGCTAAATTATCAGGTTACAAAACAAAAGGAGACTGGGAGAGAGATCAGGGCTAGGCCCCAGGAACAGCCCCAGAGGTGCAGCGGGTGAGGTAGAAACTTCGCAGTGTGAAGCCATCCTGCAGAAGGAGTCTAGGGACACATGCATAAAGGACCCTGCACCTTCACCAGCTCAGTCCTCTATGAGTCCCAGCAAGGGGACAATCTCACTTGAGCAGACTCTCCAAATCTAGGCATTAGGCCACTATAGTAAATAGGCTCAGAGCTGCAACTCAGAGCTGCCCACACCCCCGAGCTCAAAGTACTGCAGCTGGATGAAGGTTTATCGCTTCAGGATCCTTGTATCTCTGGTCAAATCTGTCTTAACCAAACTCTCAATTGACCAGCAACATTTGGTCTCCCAATACTGCTGGTCTAAAGGTTGAGGCTGTAATGAAGCAGCATGGTCCAGTGGAGAGAGCACTGGGGAGGAACCAGGACTCCTGGGTTCTGTTTCTTACTCTGCCCCTGACTCTATGTGGCCTTGAGAGAATCCCTTCCCCTATCAGTGCATCAGTTTCCCCATCTGTAACATGGGGATAAGGAAACTTCTTCCACTCCAGTGAAGTGCTTTGATCTCTATACAGTAAATGCTAAGTGTACTATGTCAAACTGGACCAGAAACTTTGGGGACCAGAGTGTGATTAAGACAGTTGTTGCCTGTTGTGAGTTCTCCCTAGTGCAGGACTCCCTGGCTTTTCCCTTCATACAGCCTATGTATAAGAAATGGACAGAAACGGCACTGAACAACATTTAACCATTTCTCTGCCTGGTGAGCATCCCAAATGAGCAACCTGAGCCCCAGTGACACAGATGAGAAAGTCAGGAGTATCTATACAGGGACATTCCAATATTAAGCAGCAGTAGGGCAGGAAGTACATGGAGGAAGGAATCATAACATTCTTGGGATTAAGCAGACACTGGTTCCTTAAAAGGTCTTTTCCATCCAGTTTAGGTGACACCCACATCCCCCAGGCTGAGATCTGTTTCAGCAGTACCTCCCCATCCCTGAGGCTCCTAGGTCACACAGATTCACTTGCTTAGTCCCAGAGATACTAGAGGAGAGAGTGAGCTGCCATGTGCAAACACTGCAGTTACACAGCAGTATGAATGGATGGACAGTATGGCATGAAGGATGGCACATCTCCTTTCTCCAAGCCACAGTCAGACTGCTGCCTAGCCTCTTGACTGGAGACAGATGCAGGGCTCTGACCTCCAGCTGTATTCTATGGTTCCCAAGATTCAACATCCCCTTTCAGGCTCCTTTAGCCTCTGACTTCTCACACTAGAGTCACACAAAATGCATTCATACTGGGCCCCAAAATAGGAGAAAATATTTTCTATTGTATTTCCCTTCTCTTGTGCATTTCACGTGAGCACCTCATGGCAACACTTTGCAAAATTTATTCCTCATATACCACTATGAGATAGCAAAGTATCATCTCCATTTCACAGACAGGGAAATGGAGGCACAGCCTGGCGAAGTAATTTGCCCACAGCCACACAAGAAATTTGAAGCCCAGCCTTAAAGAGAATCCTAGGGTTCTGATTCCAAGTCATCTCCCGCCACCCCTGTTCCAACGGCTAGACACCATTCCCTCCTTCTAGAAGAACAGGAGCTACGGAATAGCAGAGAGCGCTGCAGAGCATGACTGAGATGCTTTGGCAGGGCTGTGTGGGGAAGTTTTCACAGTCCCAGTAGGCCTGGAACCAGCCAGTTGGCTATTTCCCTGACCAGGAGAGGCCCAGGATTCTCTGGCAGGTGCAGTAGAGAAGAGACACAGTACTTTTATTTTTTTCTTATCACTGAGACTTTGGACCCCACTGATGTCAGTAGCTCAGGCAGTGAGCCACGGAGGACACTGCCTTCAATCTCCAACCCAATTCTTCATCTTCCAAATGAGACTTCAGAGTGAACGAACAATTAATTAATTAAGTTGTGGTGCAATTGTCACAACCCTGCTGTGAGGATTCCTGCTGGCAGAGCTGCAACAGTGAAGCCAGGAGGAGATAAGATGTTCCCTTAGTTGAAATTTTTCCTACCCTAGCAGGAGAAGCACCTCCCACAAAGTTGAAGGGGAGTATAGGAAGGGAAGGTCTCCATGCCAGCAGAGTTGATCCTGAGTTAATGAAATTGGAAGCCTTGTCCGACTAATTTTTCTGCCCTTCAGGAGATGCAAGGATTGACGACCTTCCCTGAGCAAACTCTAGGCTCATTACAGAGACCTACACAGAAAAAGCATCCCTTTTGTACCCTTTGGGGGCTCTTTACCAAGTACAGAATTTATGTAAATATGTAACCTGTCCAGGTTACATATTTTTATATCGTAAATTCAGGTCTCATCTTCCCTACTTCTCCTAAAAGACTATGACCAACTGGAGAACTAACAGTATCATGCAAAAGAAACCAGACAAAGGAACCAGGCTGTGGAATTTTTAAAGATTGTTTTGGGCATGTTTTTATCAACCCAAACAGTTGGAAAATAAAGCTTTCACTAGAGAAGAGTCAAACACCTCCCTCCATCCTTTTCAGTCGAGAGCTGGAAAAAGCTCCTATTTCACCTCACTCAGCCCCTCACGGAGATTTCCAGTAAAGAAAGGGAAGACCACACTTGACATTGTTATTGTTTCTAAGAGAAAGTGCAAATAGTTTTTTGGAGGGAATGGTGAGGAGGCTCTCAGGTCCCCTTCATCCACCATAAACTAACAAAGGCACAAACCTAGTTTCTCACTAGCAGATTTTGGAGGTCCCCTTTAACAAAACAAACCAAGCCTTAAATAGCCCTACCATGTGCCCAAGCCCCAAGATGGCTCCCTTCCATTAAACTCCATCTCCTCATCATGGTGAATAAACCTGGGAGAACAGGCCAGTCTTACAGCATTCTGAAGTTCATCAAAGCCAGACCTTGCTACCAGCCCTCTCCAGGAGGCTGTTGGTTCATACACCTTGAATGACTGCATGTTCCATGCTACCAGATGGGGAGAGAGGCTTGCCCAGCTCTAGTTCTAATGCATGCTAACAGAAAAAGGTGTAGTGTTTGGGTCAGAAGGGAGAGTCCCAATTCAGTTTATGGAATATTCCAACCCCACAGCATCCTCAGCATATTTCAGCCAAACCCCTGGGCTTCCCTCCCATTTCTAAAGTCACTCGGGGTGTGCGCGCCATGCAATGGGTCTGGTGCTTTTGTCATCTAGCTCCCACTAAGAGTGAAGATGGGGCAGGCAGCAGCATTTCAAACTAGATTATTGTATGTTACCCAGCACTGAACTGCCCCCTATGAACTGCAAAAGACTGCCAAAGGGATCCTTTCCAGACCCCGGAAGGACCATGCAGGTTCTGACAGGCTTGTTCATGTCACCAGCATTGCTGTCCAAAGCACTTCTCAGCACAGATTCCTGGGTCTAGCTCAGACTGGCTTCTTCATTAGATCTGGTTAGAAAGTTACCTATCAGGCCTTGCTCCCCACGAGATGCCACAGTGAATCAGGCCTCCCATTTTAGGCAGGGCTCATGTGTCATGGACTAAAGTACGCTCTGTATGTCCGTCTGTCCACAGATTATCTGCGGCTTGTAATTTATTCCCGGGGGTGTGCGGTGAACTCACAAAGTGGTGGAATAAATAAAGAATGTCAGTGACACAGCAAGTGGCATAGCTAAGCCAGGAAGGAGATCCATACAAGGACTCAGGGCCCCTTTCTTCAGCCGCCCCAATCGGAGAGTCAGAAAACTAGTGTGGAGAGGCATAGTCCCACACTACTGGGAGATCATCTCACTACTAACTGAACAGCCAAAAACCCGGTGTAGCAACTGAAGAGAGCATACCCTCAGGCCTCACAGGAATATCAACCTCTGCTAATACGCTACAGGGGAGTGCCTGCACCCTAAATATAAATTGGTACAATTGGCCACTTCTCCACGTGTTACAAGCATTAAGGAGGCAATTCCTCCCAGCACAGATAAACCCACAAAGTCTGGGTTCCCCCGATGTATTTCCATTAACATTTAAATGCACACCTAAATGTTTCACTACCTAAACACCACTTTCTATAGCTGTCTAACCCCCTGGTGGGTGCTATAGAATTGCATATGCCAAAGGGGCATAACTTTCAGGCTCCTGGAAGTTGTGCCACAATGTCATTTCAAGAATCCTGTGGCATCTTATAGACGAACAGACGTATTGGAGCATAAGCTTTCGTGGGTGAATACCCACTTCTTTCGTATTCACCCACGAAAGCTTATGCTCCAATATGTCTGTTCGTCTATAAGGTGCCACAGGACCCTTTGCCGCTTTGACAGATCCAGACTAGCACAGCTACCCCTCTGATACTTAATGTCATTTCAGGCGCTTCTGGTCTAGGAGCAGCATTGCTGAGGTAACTATAAGGTTCTGTGCCCAACTCTACAGGAGTCAGTCTCCCCAAGTACAGTCTAATCTGACAGACTTTAGCCAGCTAGAGTGCAAGTTACTGGCAGCAGAGCAAGTTGGAGGAACTGAGAGGATAGAGCACTGATTGGACTTGCACAGTCAGCTTACTTTTGGTTTTATTGTCATACCAAGACTAGTGCTGAGTCTGCACTCTCCTCCTTACTGCCCACTAACCACCTGACCCTACCATGTCCATTCCCCAGATGAGTTTTAACAGTAAATTGCAGAGAAGCCTGAACTCTGATTTGCACAGTGGAACCCCTCACCCTTACCCCAACCATGGGCCATTTCCCACATATCCCATATGACAGGTTGCTGAGCAGGAAGATTGCAGAACCAGCCCCTGCCGCACCAGCCCCATTTAAGTGAATAAAGTGGAGCTGGCTGGAAAGAACCTGCCCTAATTGGGGAATGAGAGAGAGCTGCCAGCCCAATTATCCCAGGGCTATATAAGCATCTGAGAAGAAGCAGCAGGCTGGTGGGATGGAGGAGGGTGAGGGAGTGCAGGCAGGGAGAAAGCCCTTCCCTCCTGGGTTCAGACACAAGGAACCCAGAGCTGTGCGTATTGTACAGTGAGAAGGTGGTGGGTGCACAAACTTGTAAATAAAAGCACCAGTGGTTTCAGAACCTGAGGGTCTCTGAGTGACTTCATCTGAGCCTAGCAAAGGCAGGAGCCAGGAGTTTTTACCCCCCAATAAATCTCAAACTAAGGAAGCCTGAGAGCCTAACCTCCCAGGCAGGGTAATTTCACTTGCTTTGAGTAGAGCTTTCACCCTTTTCCATCTTCATTATGAAAGCACTAGGGGGCCAAACTGGCTGACATGCTGAGTCACTTTCCTGGACAGGCTGGGGTGGAGAACAGAAGTGATTTAGCCAAAAAGGAGAGCAGGGAGGGGGGGAACAGATACAGACATCAGGGAGGTTTGCACCCTGGGTAAATCCTCTGTCACAATGTCCCCTGCTTAGTGACAGACTAGCACTGTCTGGTCATATGCCCAGGAGAAGCCAGAGGATTCCAACCATCTGATTGAAGACAAGCTGTTGGGCAGCCAGATCTCAAGCTGCTGTCTGGCAAGGCCTGGGTATTTCATTGAAAAATTATGTTACAGCAGCTCAGATAGTCTGCAGTGGAGATCACACTGGCTTGAATGCTGTTGCTGCATGTCCCCAGGGTCAGCACGTTCCTGACATGAAGTCGTGCTCAGCACCTCTCAAACATAAGTTGAATTCTTTTTAATGCACGTCTCTTCTGACGCTAGATGTTCCTTATGCGCAACACCCCATCTCCAAATGTTCTGTACAGGAGAACCCAGAGGTGCTGTGCACGTAATGAGAAACTGGGCCCAACTCGTATGATTACGAGATGGAAAATGACTATTAGATCCCATCTACTCCAAACTGGGGCAAGACTGTCTGCTGCTGTCTATTCTCCGAGGCTTTGTCCCAAACTAGTTTTAAATATGCCCCAGCAGTAGGGTTTCTGATCCTCGTAAGATCCTTCTACACTGTATTTTTAAAAGGAGCAGGAACCGCAACACATCATATATTCCTTGGCAGATAAGGCAACTGCAACACACTGAGAACTCCTAGCTTCCAATCTCCTGTCTGTGTGTGACCTGAAGGCAACTGCAACACACTGAGAACTCCTAGCTTCCAATCTCCTGTCTGTGTGTGACCTGCACATGCTTTCTTGCCATATAGTCACACAGCATCTGCCAAACAAGTGGAGGAAAGGAAAAAATCGCACCAAGTCTGCAGATGAGTCCCCAGTGTATACCAGGGTCCCCTCACAACACACCAGGGCCTGCCCAAGGACCTTGTGGGGAGCAGATGGTGGGGCAGGGCATGGAGACCCCACAGAGTTTATAAAGGTATGGTAGAACCTCAAAGTTATGAACACAAGAGTTACAAACTGACTGGCCAACCTTACATCTCACTGGGAACCAGAAGTACGCAATCAGGCAGCAGAGACCAAAAAAAGGGTAAATACCGTTCAGGACTGTGTTCAACGTAAACTACTAAAAAAATAAAAGGAAAGTTTAAAAAGATTTGACAAGGTATGGTAACTGTTTCTGTGCTTGTTTTGTTTAAATTAAGATGGTTAAAAGTAGCATTTTTCTTCTGCATAATAAAGTTGCATAATAAAGTTTCAAAGGTGTATTAAGTCAATGTTCAGTTGTAAACTTTTGAAAGAAGAACCATAATGTTTTGTTCAGAGTTATGAACAAGCTCCACTCCCGAGGTGTTCGTAACTCTCAGGTTCTACTGTATATCATGGAGCATTCTTTGAGGCCCCAAAGTTTATTTGGTCTGAACACAGGGATTTTAGTTCTTTGATGTGAAATCTCACAGCTCTCCTCCGGGGTCAGGTTTTAGCTGATGTTTACACATCCATATTTCACTGTAGGGAATGGAATTCACTTTCCCACATTAATTTCAGAGATGGGTACCAGAGACAGATTCCCCCAAATACCAGGGACCTGTGGATTGTGTTAGTGTAAATGGGGCTCTTCCTTCCCTTCCCCTCACTGGTTATGAAAAGCAGCAGTCACATCCAACGGATGATGGTACAAATGCCCTAGACTCCCAGGAAATTCCAGCTAGTGTCCCCTCCTTCTAGAGATACTCAAAGCCTCTTTGCCTTCCACTGACAGCTGGTTAGCCCATCAGCAGGGCTCACAGCCCTAAATTAAGGTTCCCTGCAGAGCTGTACTGGAGGTTTCAAACCTATTAATTTATGTGAAACACCTCCCCACTTCCAGGTCCCACCCCTCTCCCTAGCTTTACCACAAGCCTTAAAGGGTAATGGCCGCATCACACATTTTTAATCCCACCCATGTTCTTCAATTCCATCCCTCTTAACTTCTTTAAGTCTTTTCTACAAGGATTTCAGAAGCTTTTACTCACTCTCCACCCCCACACTGACTATTTTTGCCTTTACACTCATCCTTCTCATACACGCAGGATGTGTGAGAGTTTAGGGCTGCTGAAAAGGTGCCAAACTGATGGCCCTAAAAATGAAGAGCTCCCAAATATTTGAACCATATAGACAGTAGGAAAGCAAGCACCCCAGCACCGCCCTACCGCTCTGCAGTATTATAATTAGAGTGCTCTCATAAGGCACAGAGCACTTCACAAATTATGCCATCAGACCTCACACCCGCCCTAGAGAATCTGACTCCCGCCTCTGGGAAAAGAGGAATGAAGGGTGAAAAGAGGAGCTCAGACTCCATGACTTATTAATACTTGGCTTCTCTACTGAGTCTGACAACAAAGAGGCCAGTTAAAGCAGCGTCAAAACAACGTGGACATCTTCCTGCTGGGAAATGAATGAGACCTACCAACTCATCTCACAATGGGCACTGAACAGCCACAAGGTGGGACAGTACCCACCCAGCCACGACTAAATCCAGCAACCTCAAGGGACAAGGTTTGGTCCGGCCATCACTGCCCGAACCTGCATCTCTGTTACGGGCTGTTCAGGGTGTTCAAGGGAAACCTGCCTCCTGCTTTCCCCGCTCCGCCCACTCGCTCCCGGGGCTGGCGGAGCGAGGCGGGAACCGCACGGCAGCGGGCCTGGCGGGGGAGGGCGGTGCCCGGTTCCTGCGGGGCGGCTCGCACGGCGCGGGACGGGGCAGAGCCCGGCGCTGTCTCACACCCCGAAGGGTTGGCGGGGCGCCTCGCTGTTCAGCGCTGTGCAGAGCTGAGCCCGACGGGGAGCCCCGCCCGGCAACGGCCCCGAGCCCCGCGGGAGCGGGAGGAAGGCTCCGGGGGCGCCGCAAGAGAAGAGTGGCCTGAACGGGAGGGGAGCAGGGGGGCGCCCGGCCACCCCCTCAGCGCTGGCCTGGAAGCCCCCCTCGGGCACCCGGACTCTCTGCCCCGCGGGGCCGCCCTGCAGGGGTGTCTCTCCCCGGGCGCCGTCCCGTACCTGAGGCCAGCGCGCCCCCGCCGTCGGTGTAGGTGCCCCGGCTGCCGCCGCCGCGCTCGCTCCCGCGCAGCCCTTTAAATCACCTCCGCCCCGTCCCGGCTGCGGACCCAGCCGCTCCGCGCTCGATTCATCCTCCTTGCTGCTCCGCGCTCGATTCAAGAGGCTAGCGGGTCTTGGCAGATTGCGCCCGACTGCCTTCGGTGCGCAGGCGCAGAGGGGAGAGTCTGGCGTGTGAGCAGCTCAGTGCGCAGGCGCGGAGTTTCCTACCGGGAAGCGTGTGCCGGGCGGCGGTGGAACTAAGTGCTCCCAAGGAGCCATGGCCGCCGCCGGGCCCCTGGGGAGGCTGCGGCGCCTCTGTCACCGCTACCAGGAGTACGTGAGGCAGCACCCGGCCGCCACTGCGCAGCTGGAGGGCACCGTGCGGGGCCTCTCCTACCTGCTGCCAGGTACCGGGGCGGGCGAGCGAGCTGGGGGGACCCAGGAGTCCGGGCGCTTAACGACCGCCTCTACGGGTAGCTGGGGCAGGAACCCAGGCGTCCTGCCCCGCCCACAGACCCCGCTCCCCGGGCGGGCGGGACCCCAGGTGTCCGGACTCCGTCGGACGAGAACTCTGGGAGTGTGTGCCCCACCACCTCTGTTAGCCAGTCCCACCCATTACACAGTGGAGTTTTTTATTGATCTGTCACGAGTTGCATTGACAGGGCCCCACTACATCATAACCATTGTAAATCAGGTCCATCTGCATTGCCTCGAGTTACTACGGTTCAGATAAAGATGGACTTGTATCTCTGCGATTCACACGCTGCTGGGCCAGCAGGATCAGCCTGCTCTGAACTCAAGCATGTGGTGGAGAAGATAATGAAGTCCGTGCTCCAGGTGTAGCTTACGCTGTGGTTGGTCGTTTAACAAAGTAAAAGAAAAAAACAAACCTGAACGCATGGTTAAAATATTTTGGCACATCACCTTTGGCCTGTAAGATGCCAAGAAATGAGGGAGCATCAGCCTGCAGGACACCCCCCCTCGCCTGCTGGACTTGCACAGATATTGGAAGGTTGAAGAAAAAATAATAAAACCTCATCTAGTACTTGGCCAGAAAGAGGCAGAGCAATGGGAAGGGGAGGAAGTAACCTGATATTATTATTATTATTTATTATTTTGAGGGCAGGAGAATGTTAATCTCTGGGCTCCTTGAGAGACATCCTTGATGGATACTTGAAACCCTTTAGCTAAGAATTCCCTATCAGCATTGATTAAAGTAATTGTTTCTCTCTGAAGCAGTGATTGTGGTGGTTTTCAGCAGCATGACAGACCCTCCTCTAACATCGCTCCTTTATTTCCCAGGTCGCTTTTCTGATTCCCATGAACTTTCTGAGCTTGGTACGTATGCTGGTGAACTGATATGCGGCACCAGAACTGTGCCATCTGCAAATGTTGTGTAGATAACCGGCAGACTTTGGGGAGGGAGGGCTGAGCATTGTACCAGGGAAAGAGGTGCAGGTCTGAAACTGGAGTGCTGCTGCTGCATGGCTGGGATTATTCAGTGGCTGTTGTTCCCTAATGCTCGTGCAAGTGTTGCTTCAGTTGGGGCAGGGTGAGGTGAGGCGAGGCGAGGTGTTCCCTTGGGTCTGATGGGAATGTTTGTTTCTTTGCCAGCTGCTAGTCTAGGCTTTTATGGGGCTCCCTGTTCCCTCTGATGCTAGTGGCTGCTATTTGGCCATTGCTTTTGTTAAATTTGTTAACTTTGCCTTCCTGAACTTACTAACAGGTGAGTACTCTTTTCACTGTGTTGTAGGAACCTGGTGATATGAAGCTCTCTACCAGCTGCTGTTTGAACGAAACCAGAAAGAGTGGCTATGTTACTAACTTGGAGTTGGCCAGAGACCCTACCCCACAGCAAGCTCAGTCTATCTCCCACTATCTCCCACTCTGTCTGGGGTCAAATTCCTGGAACATAGTCCTCACTAAAAATCATCATTCACTTAACTTTGCTGTTAGCTGCATTGCCTCTCTGAGCCATCGGGAGTCTGTCCATCCCATCTAGGGTTGCCAGCTTTGGTTGGATGAATTCCTGGAGGTTTCATCACATGACTTTTTTAAATTAAGGATTACTCTTTAATTCCTGGAAACTCCAGGACAATCCTGGAGGGTTGGCAACCCTAGTCCCACCCATTCATCTGCCTCAGTGGAAAGATTTTTCTCCTGAGCGCTCAGCTTCTGCCATATCCTATGACTGGGTGGGGAGAGGGTTCAGTCAGTGGCTAGATCTCTTTCCCATGTGAATCACTGTCTTCTTTCCCAGTGTACTCTGCCTCCAATCTCCTGGTGCTGTTAAATGACTGGATCCTCCGAAAGGAGCTACAGCGGACCCTGCCTGTGGTGAGGCTCTTGTGCACAGGGGGCGGGATTGGCACAGGCATTTCTGTAGAACCTACTGGCCCAGATTCCAGTCCCTGCTGCAGCCCCTTTACACTATTCCCCTCTGGTGGCATAAAGAGGCCAGAACAGCCCTCTGAATATGTGGCATGCACTAGTGCTGTGCTGTCCTGGCTTGCCAGCCCAGAGGAGCGACCAGAGCGCTCTGCACTTTGGCAATTCTGGGCTATGCAGAAGTCTGTAGGCAGCCCATGTAAGGCTGCAATAAATTAGAGCAGCCTCTAACTTATGCTCTGGACCACACCAGTCACTGAGAAGCTCACAATCTGGGATTCACAAAGGAGGTATAAAGCCACCTTTGCCCTTCCCCTCTTCTGGACTGCATCTCCTGACTGGTGCAACACAGAATCAGGCCCCTTATGCCATTCTATGTACAGTAAAACAAAACAAAAAAATCCAAACCCAACCCTGACTGCTTCTTTCTTGTAAGAATCTCTCCATACCCCAAGCCAGCCTTCAGCGATCACTGTGTTAGAGGTTCCGTTAGAAAGGCCTCTGTTCTGATAACCTGCCTATTCTGTGGGCTTGGATGTGTCAGGCCCCGTGCCAGCTGAAGAATGCAAGTCTATAGCCAGGATCTCAGCTGTCTAGTGAACAAGAATGTTGAACTGGATGAGCCTAACTGGCTTTTCACTGCTGAAGGCCACACGTGAAATGAGTGGGATCTCAGCCAGTCCTCTTCATCAGTGGGCTACACAGCGTCTGAAATCTGCCATTTACTCCCAGGAGCCCCCTTCTAACCCTTCCTCGGTTCACCCTGGAAGTAGAACTTTCAGAGTGGGCTGGACTTACACACTGAGTGACACACAGCCAGAATCTGCTGGCTCTTACTCTCTCCCCCTCTTTGTGTTTTCAGTCACTACCCCAGCAGAAGTTGCTGACATGGCTGAGTGTGCTCGAGTGTGTGGAAGTGTTTGCGGAGATGGGGGCTGCCAAGGTGTGGAGTGAGATGGGCCGATGGACCATCATAATCCTCATCCAGCTGGCTAAGTGAGTGCTCCAGGTGGAGGGAGGAGGGTGTGTTTGTACAGAAAGGGAGGGCTTGTTACCACGGGCTAATGAGTGAGATGTTACCTAGAGAGCATCCAGCAGATCTGAGCTCATGGAAGAAGATGGTGCAAGCCTGTTCCATGAGGCTGTGCACGTTTGGGGCTGCACAGGACTATTAGATTTCCTGCTGCTGGAGATTCTCACCTTTGTGGTGGTGCTCCTGGCTGTGGTAAGGCAGTGTTCAAGTGTTCAAGTGAAGAAGGGACCTGCCAATGATGAGCAGTGTTGGGTCCTGTTGCCATGTGCAGAGTGGCTGTTGGCCCCATTCGCTCAATGCAAAGCAGAGGTTGTGTGTTCCCTGTTTCCTATGGCTGCTGCCTCACCATGAAGCTGGGTTTCTGTAGTGTGTGCCTGATGCTTACACCTCCTGGCTTGTCTGTGCCCCATAGAGCCATCCTGCGCCTCCTGCTCTTGCTATGGTACAAAGCTGGTATCCAGACATCTCCTCCCATCATGCCACTGGACAGGGAGCAGCAGCAGCTCCAATCAGAAGGTGAGTCCATTGCACTAGGATTGCCTCAGCTTCTTGCTGCTTACCAGACATTTGGGGTAGTTTGGAGACTTTGTGGGGCACAGTGGAGTGGGAGTGTCATCCAGTTAGCCCTGCTTGAAAGTCCTCATTAGCCGAGTGGTTTGGGCATCAGGGAAGCTGTAAGAATTCCACAAGCCAAGCAGCTGGAACTGTGCTACTCTCCAGTCCCATCCTTCTCCACAGCATGCACCTACACACACCTTGGTTAACTTAACAGTACTGCTCCCTTAGACTGTCAGCCCTAATGGGATGATGGGCCTAAATCTGGAATAGAAAAGAAGGCTGCAAGACTGGCTAGAGGTGCATTAGCAGAGCTGGGGGAAGGGGCGGCAGGATTGGAATAGCAGGCTGCATGTGCAACCATGTACCTTCCTGCACTTTGCTTGGCTGTGCTCAGTGTTAGCAGTTTCAGAAAAGGCAGACTTAACAGCTGAAACGTAAAGCCATCAGACATAAAGCACTCGGACTCCCTGGCCTCCTGAAGTTAGTACTCTAGAGGGAGGAGAAGGGGCTGCGATGAGAACTTTGTCCTGGGAGAGGGTGCTCCTATGCCACCTCAGAGCAGTGTTAACAGAGAGCTGCAGGGAAGTTTAACTCAGAGTTACATCCTTGATCTCGCTGTCGTGCCTCTCTCCTGGCAGACAAGGAGGGCAGCTCAGCAGGAAAGGAACAGACATATGTTGGGAGGCGCTCCAGCCGCGTTGTGAGGTCCCTCGAAAGCAGTAAGTACCTCTCCCTGGTCAGCTTGTGCCCCGGCATAAACCCTGACATTGCTGTGTCTGCCTTGACTCCGTGGCCAAGCTACCGATTCTTTTGGAGTGTTGGAGTGTAACCAGTGGGAGCTCGCTGGCTTACCCAAGTGGGGGCTGTTCCCACCACTGGCCTGTTTCTCTCTCTTCCCCCATCCCCCCCCACCCCCCCTCCTGAGAGCAACAGGATCGGTGCTTGTGCTGGGCCTGGCACCAGGATTATTTCAGCCTAGGCATACCTGTGTCATGGGATAAGTCTTCAGCATGACTATTCAGCTCCCCGTGCTTTGAAGTAGCCAGATACCAGGAAAGCCTTCTCTGACTATCTGCCCCAGCTCCTAGGGGAGCTCCCTCTGTGTTGACTATAACCAGCTTCTTCTCCATGCTTGGGGAAAGCCAGAGCCACAGCCTCTACCATGTGACTGTAGTCCTCAGAGTTCTCCCATTCCAACCCCTCCCCTGGGCGTCACTGAAAGGCCAGTGTTTGTGCGCTGGATGCTTGAGAAAGGCACAGTTTACATTAGAAATCTCGTCTGCAACTCTGTTTCAGCCCCAGCCTTGCAATCCAGGCACTGGGGGTCTCCCCAACAGAGGGAGGGAAAACAGAACCGAAGAGCAGAGGAGATGAACCAGGCTCCCACCCCTCTGGGGCTTCAGGAAACCATTGCAGAATCTGTCTACGTCACCCGGCCTCTGTTCCACTGTATCCTGACTTGGCTTTTGTTAGTGCCTGTAGTGTGCCTTGTACCCCACCGGAGTACTGCAGCCTCAGTGCGCAGCCTTCCATGCAGCTGTTCATGAATGAACAGGCACAGAAGGCGCTCTAGCCAGGGTCCCTGTGTGCGCTCAGCCATTTGGACTAGAAGAGCAGGTCATACCAGCCTCTTCCATGGGGCACTTACGGTACTAACGTGTTAGAGCTTAATCTTGTAGGGCTGCCTGGAGGGTCATTTTGCCTACCCAGCTGCTCCCAACCATGTCTGTTCTCTCCTTTCCTTGACTCTTCTGTTCCCAGTGTTGAGTTTAGGCATATGGGGCCAGAGATCATGGAAGCCCTGGCTCCTCTCGGGAATCCTGGATATCACAAGGTCAGTTGGAGGGAGGCCACCTAGGGCTTCAGCGTTGGGTGTTTTGGGGTTGAACTCCCAGTCCTGTTTGTCTCGATTGTCCCCATTTGATCCCACTGGTGTCCTGCTGTTCCGTGCTGCATAAGCCCTTCAGGTAGAAGCAGCAGTGGGGGGCAGGGGGTGGAGCTGCAGGTGGGAGCAGTTATTTGTGACAGCAAAAAGTCCCATGCCAAGATTCTCGGGATCCACCCCTGCAGCACCTTCACGCTGCACTGTCCCTAGTTCGGTGGTTAGCCTTTCCTCTGAAGAGGAGCAGGGAGGCCTGCTCAGTGCTCCACTTCACATGAAGCTGAGAGCAGCAGGGACTAGATGCTAAAACTCCCCTGCTCTGGCCATGGATCTCTGAGTTAACTCCCTGCCCTTCTCTTTCCAGCCTAAGTTTACTGAGTGATATGAAAGACCTGAATAAGCGAGAGCGCTTGGAGCTGAGACGCCGAACCATCCTGCTGCTGTACTACCTGCTGAGATCTCCTTTTTATGACCGATACTCAGAGTAAGGGGGCCTGCTGGCTGTTCTGAATGTACCCCCTATAAAGGAGCCATCCCCCAACAGGATATTTGATGAGCAAGGTGCTCTAAGAATATAACAGTGGCCATACTGGGTCAGACCAAAGGTCCATCTAGCCCAGTATCATGTCTTCCAACAGTGGCCAATGCCAGGTGCTTCAGAGGGAATGAACAGAGGTAATTTTCAGTGATCCATCCCCGTCATCCAGTCTCTGTTGTCAGTCAGAGGTTTAGGGACACGTAGAGCAGGGATTTGTGTCCCTGCCCATCCTGGCTAATAGCCATTGATGGACCTGTCCTCCATGAACTTATCTAATTCTTTTTTTAACACAGTTATACTTCGGGCCTTCACTAAGGTGCTTTGGTGCCTCTACCTAGCTAGGAAGCCAGAGTGGGCTCAGGCTGTATTGAAGATCTCAAGCATCTTTCACTCTGACCTGCTTCACCTGCATCACTGTTGTTTGCATTAAAATCCTCACATGGGAAGTTGTGGGGAGCTGGCAGTTTGGGGGTGCAGGATATTCAAGGGCAGCAAAGCAGCTGAGCTGAGAAAAATCCAGTTCTCATTATCAAATGAGGAGGCCTCTTCTAGCACGTTCGACAGACTGGAACATGAGGTCATTGCACTGGCTTCATCCACACTCTTTCTGTTCCCCTAGGGGCCGGATCCTCTTCCTGCTCCGCCTGCTGGCTGATTATGTCCCTGGAGTCGGGTTAGTCACACGTAAGTAGGCAGCTGTAGTGGGCTGCATTTCCACTGGGAGGGGCTGGAGTTGGGGCGTATGTCACAGGCTAGAGTCTGACTGGCAAAGGAGTGAGGAAAAGCCCGTGGGATATTTGCCACCAGAATACCTACCATTAACACTCATGTGCTGGTTTAAATCCAAACAGTAAGGGGTTAAATATTGTAGAGACTTAAGTGCCACGATTTTAATCATTCAAATACCCCCCACCTGCCCCAGTCAGAGTTGGCTGGATTTCAGTCCTGGGTTCCCTGCACAGTTCTGCCAGTGCACCTCAGTCCTGACCTCCAGTGCACTCTGCTGTGCTGATCCTGCTATGCTCCCCATACACAGCTCTGCTGATGCCCCTTCGTCCCATCTTCACCCACCTCATAAGCACTGAACTGTGCAAAGCAGAACACAGAGTGAGCAGTAACCCTCTCCAAATTGCTACCAGGGACCGTTACTCCAAGGTAGTTTTGGATGGACTGTGAATTAAAGAATGGAAACAATCTTGCATTGGGTGGAAGGGAGGGATAGCTCAGTGGTTTGAGCTTTGGCCTGCTAAACCCAGGGTTGTGAGTTCAATCCTTGAGGGGGCCATTTTGAGATATGGGCCAAAAATTGGGGATTGGGCCTGCTTTGAGCAGGGGGTTGGACTAGATGACCTCCTGAGGTCCCTTCCAACCCTGTTATTCTATGATTCCTCTAGCACCTCTTCCAAAAGGATCGCAAAGCACTTTACAAAAGGATCGCAAAGCACTTTACAATCTACAAAACAGAGTCTTCCCTCTTCTTCCACCTCCTGCTGAAACACAGCCCTCTCTGGAGCGGACCACGGGAGCAGTGTAACACTGCATAGCAACGCTACATGAGTTTAGCCAGGAACTGAGGGGGACTGTGTCTTTGCAGCTGATCTTTGGTGCTGAGTTGGGTTACTGCCCCTTCCCTATAGTTTGGCTGGTGCTCTCCTATCCACAGGTTTCTTCCAGCGTGGGGAGCTGCCATCCTGGGGCAGAGGGGAAACCTCTTCGCCAGTGCACAGGTGTCAGTGCCTCACCTGTTGCCTCTGTTGTCCAAGTTTCAAGGTCATATGAGTCTTGCCCTGCTCTACTCCCAGTGGGCACATCAGCGCCGCCACCCAGCAGGGCACAGTCGGTGATTTTGCTTGGGGAAAAGCTAGGAATGGCCTAACAGGAGGCTGTGGGCTGGGATTGAGGAGCATCAGCAGAGACGTATGTGGGAAATCCATGCTCATAGTGTACATCTTTAAACTGTTGTTCCCCACTGTGGCTCACCTGGTCTCTCGTTCTCTCATTTCAGGACCAATGATGAATTACCTACCAGCTTGGCAGAAAATCTATTTCTATAACTGGGGCTGATGGGGAAGTGCCCCTTTGCTGCTGTGACCGGGGCTGACTCAGAGTGGCGACAGGATGTCTCTGTGGAGGGATGTTTCTGTCGTATCTATTTTTCAGTTAAACCATTGAGTAGAGACTCCCATTCTCCAGGGGGGCTTGTAACTTTTTTTACATAGCTGTGAACAACGGACACTATATGGTGAGAGACCTTTGCCACCCCCTAGCCTGTACAATACGGTGGCTTCAGTGCTGGTCCAGGACCTCTTTTTTTAAGCATTTAGCTTTTGTATGGCCGCACAGTAATAAAGTCAGAGAGTGCTTTTGGGACCGCCGGTCTGCTCTGGGTGCAGGGACAGATCCTGTGCCCAGCTTGTGTTAACAAGGCCTTTCCCTCCTTGCCCAAACTATTGGAGGCTTCTTCCTGCTGAGGAAGCTGGCTGTGCTGAAGAGGCAGACTAAGAGCCTCTTTCCTCCCAGGATTTCTCCCCCAGTCTGAGTACTCTGCCCTTCTGCAGCTCCCTTCCCCCCAGGATAACCCCTGCTCTCTCAAGCTCATTCAGGGGTGTTCTTCCCATACAGGGCAGCTAGTCCAGTAACACAGATGTTTGCTGGGGAGCTTTGCAAGGCAGGAACATTCTTTCCTCCCCCCAGCTACTGGTTTGGGGGCATCTCAGGCTGCTTGGCAGCTGACTCCACCATAGCTAGCTCTTGCAGCAAGGCCCACCTCTGCAGTTCCCTGTTGCAGAGACTCTCACTTATTGCCATGGCCACCATCTTTCTCTCAAGCACTCCCTTCAGTGCTCTTTCCCTTGGAGAATGCAGGGCTCCATCATGCCCACGTGCTCCTCAGTTGGCATCTGCCTTGCCCACAGCTGGGACTTCTGGTGGTTGGTTCAGGCTGTTTAATTTCATACAGCTATCCTGTGGGTATTGCATGCCACAGTTTGTACATTGCTTTTCTAGCAGCTAATGTACGCTAAAAGGGCTCGCTGAGCAGCTGCCAGCCGGGGAGTGGGGGCTGGAAAGCAATGTCAAGGAGGCTGTGGCTGGCCAATGCGGGGAGTGCAGACAAATCAATTCAACAAACATTTACCTATGTGCAAAGCTTAATGGCCAGGGCCCAGCTGAGCCCTATAGCAACTGGAGAAATGGGGGTGGTTAGTCTCTTTGCTGGCTGAGGAATGGTAGAGGGAAACACAGCACTGTTTTGCCAGAACTATGCATGGAGCAGCCAGGGGTGGGACAGACTCTCATTCACGGAGCTACAGAACATTTGGCCCTGGAGTGTGAGGTGTGTTCTAGGCCTGGGTTTCTCATGCTCAGCTCTGATGATGCAGTCTCAGTCATGCCCAGCCACCCTGCTGCTCTTCCAGGCCTGCCCTGCCAATGCCCCTTTGTTCTCTCTCTCCAGGGAATACCTTTACAATAGAGGAACCGTGGGCTTGTTGCAGTCTGAGCAGCTCCCATATTTCTCTCACTGAGCTCAGTGTATCGTAACCATCTTCTAGTCTCACCAGCTCTTCCCTTTGTGGCAAGTTTCACTGAACAGGAGTCCTTGAGTAGTTCCCCGCTGGTTATCAACACCCAGAATGACACCTCAGCAAGAAGTCGTTTCACAGAGGGGGGCACAGAATAGGGTGATGATAATGCCCCTACTTAAACTGGCTTGGGGGCCCCAGATACTACAGTGGGGGGTGTGCAACATGTACAGCAGGGACTTCGCACTGGAGTGCTTGGAGTAGAGCCTGTAATGGAGCAGAAGTTGCTATATTCCCTGCAGGGCTATCAGATCAACCAGCGAGAGAAAACCTGGGCCTCACGGTCACTCCAGCACAGGACAGCCAGTTTGGATAGTATCATTCATGCAGTATACTTCAGGTACTACACGGCAGCAGGCAGTGACAGCATATGGTCCAGGCTGCAGCAGCATGGAGCCATGAGCTGGGGAATTCAGTCCAGAGGCGCCTAGTGAAGGGAGAGAAAGGAGGACTTCACCCAGCGTAGGCAGACATCTGCAATGAGATGGATGGAGATCGGGAAACTGCAGAGAAGATGCAGATTGCAGGAAATGGTGAGGCTTGCGGGAAGAGACAAAGGCTTTGAGGCAAACATTTAGAGAGTTAAACATGAGGAGGGCAATTCTGAACGCTACCAAAATGATGGGGGATCCAGTGGAGACTACACAGCATGAGCTGTGTGTTTGTGACTGCTAATGCCACACTCCAGTTAGAGCGGCAGCCTGAGGAGAGCGCGGGAGGATGCTTAGGTCAGGAGTGGAGGTAATGGATCACTCTGTGTCAGGAAGAGCTTCCAGATCCTGGGCTGCATGTGATGAGTAGTGGCCTAAGCTGCTCCTGCAGGAGATACCCTTTTTAAATTAGCTTATGGGGCTGGCTCTGTGTTGGGCCCCACCCAGTTCGGAGAGAGGCTCTCAAAGCCTCTGTGGGCTGCTGTGATGTGAGGTGGTAGGTGCATTGAGGAGGCTGAAGGAGGTAGATGGCTATCTTGCCATCACAATTACATTCAAAGGGGCTAATATTGTCCAGACACCTATGTTGTTGCCCTAACACCTGCATTATCCCCAGCTTGCTACTCGGGGCCATGCTTCTCTGCTGCTCTAGCTCCAGGCCTTGCCTCTGCTAGCATCTCCTGATGTGTTACCCAGCACTCCTGCTACCAATGCAAGTGATCTTCATGTGTTTGCTCCTTTTGTGATGTCACTGTAGGGACTCATGATGTCATCATGTTCCACCAATGAAAGAAAAGGAGGATAGGCGGAGTCCAGCCTGCTTCTGCAAGGACACAATGTAGTTGGGCTGGACTTCATGAAGCTGCACCTGCTGCTGACACTCCTACTGGGGGCTGTGCTCCCTGTGCCACTTCCCCAAAGGTAACATGGCCCCTGCAAAGTTTGTGCCCACTCCTTCCTCTGCCCCCAGGTGCCTGCCCGAGAACACATGCAGGAGACTCAAGCATGAGCTGAGCTGGGAGCTGGATACAGAAGGGTGGGGATCAGAGCTTAGGCCAAAGCAGTGGGAATTGCCCTGTTTGAACCATGCAGAAGAGCTGGAGTGCGCACAGCCTAGCTGCTGCACCTTAAACCTTCCCCCACCCCCATTCCAGCAGGGAGCACCTTTCCCTTCAGAGCCTGCCTCTGCACTACTGCAAGCTGTAAAATGCACCTGTCCTTATTGAGGGAAGCCAATGCACAAGTCACCCTGTCCACATTAAGGACAACCGTCAAATGCATGTAACCTGGCCAAGTCAGCCTGTTTTCTGGAGCCCTGGCTCTGCTCCACCATTTAAGCTCTAACAGTAGGCTAAGTGCCTCCTAGGCCAAATGCAATTACCCACCATCTCATTCCAGCTCTGCTGCTGTCTTTTATGCCCAGCACCCTAAGACCTATGGCTAGAACCCAGGTTGAGCTTCAACTGGAAATGCGCCAGCAGCCCCAGCGCTGCTGCTGGGAGACTAGTGAATGCATCCGCCCTGGGAGCTTCCTGCTCCCCTGACCACGCATTTCTATTGCAGGCTCAGCGACTTAGTCCCTGAGGATTTCTCTGCTCCCCTAGAGCTCCCACAGCAGCACTTCGGCCTGGTGGACGGTACCAACTTACTCTGCTCTAACATGCTGTCATGGGGGGCATGGACAGTTCCTGTTCAGCCTCCCCAGTGCACAGCAGGTGCACTGCCTCCTGCACCATCAAAGCCAAGTCCCCACAGCCAGGGAATGCAAGAGGAAGGGTTACTATGAGGTGGGGTGGGGGCAAGGCAGTGGCTTCCTCAGGGGCACACACCTCACTGTTTCCCAGTCACAGGTCTGTGGGGGGCCAGTCACTGCCACTTAAGGTTGTAAGCCTGATTCTCAAGATTTGCCCTGTGCAAGGCTCCTACTTCCAGGGGCAAGCAGGCTTTCCCCCTTCCCCCTGCAGTGAGCATGGAAGAGCCTGGTTTACTGCATAAGGGATCCACTTCAAAGCCTCAGCTCACCCTCCTCAGAGGCCAAGGAAGGATTATTTCCCCAAACACTAGAATATAGGAGCAAGTTTCAGCTGAGGAAAGCAGGCCTAATGTCACTGCAAGCCCTGGATTGGTAGGCGATTACTATTTTAAAGGCTAATTCAGGTGAGAGACAGCCTCACTTCACCAGCAGGGTCTCCCATTACCTGCAGCTATGGCTCACCCAGCAGCCAAGCCCCCTCCTTAGCAGCCTGTCTCTGTAGAGCCAGCTGGCCATGAGTCCAGACTGCCCCACCCCATGCCACAGTTCAGCTGGCCAGGCTGTGGGGAAAGCCCCTGAGAAGCCAGCCAGTGCCAATTGGGCCTCATTTGCAGTGATTTTCCCTCCCTGTGCATGGACACTTAACAGGCACGTGCTGTTCATTGTGCACGGCACAGGAGTTGCTGCTACTGCAGGGTGATGGCTGCACTGCTCTAGGTGCTGCTACAGCCCAGGCTTACTTTTCGTCGTTCCCAAAAGCACACACCACCTCCAGAGTGGGGGGTGTACGTGTGAGTGCTGGACCCAAACTTGGCTCATTAGTGGCCGCAGGCAGTTTCCCCACAACACAGGCTGTTTTGGGCCCAGTGTTTCTCTCCCTCTCCATCAGCAGCTCTCTGTCCTTCCATAGATTATGGTATTAAACCGAAGTACCCCCAGTTCGAGACTCGAGCACCCCAGAAGCAGCCAGCAGGCCTGCACCAAGCACACAAGAGCAAGCGGGATGAGCCAGACTTGGCAGAGTATTATTATGACAATGTCCTGTGAGCTGCCCAGGGACTTGTTGCAGTGGGGGGTCTCCATGAGCCCTAAGGACTCCAGCTCTGGCCCTGTGCACTAGTTGCTTTATAAAGGTGCGCTGTACAGCAAGACAGACTGAGGGGCTGCTCAGTGATGTCTGTTGGGGTGGGGTGGAAGGTGAAGGCAGAGGGCTGCCACTGCTCCAGACTAGTTTCCTTCATCCCATGGATGTTTCTTCAGCTGCTGGAGATGGTGTAGCTGAAGATGAAGCCCCTAAAATTACTTCTCCCCTCTAATGAAGGCTGCCTGTCTCCACCTGAGTGTAGAGGTGGGGATCCCAGGCAGAGAGAACTGAGGTCACTTGTCCATAGAAAGCCATTCTGTGCAGCCCCCCGGCTGCCACGTAAGCTGCTCTGCCATGATGCTCAATCTCCCTTGGGCTTGAGGTGCTGGGTGGGGCTCTCTGAAGAGGCCCCTGGGAAGGAGAAAATGGGCAGGATGCCCACGTAACAAGGCTGTGACAGAGGAGCTGCAGGCCTTGCCCAGTGCTCTGGTGTGACACACAGACATGTAGAGCAGCTCCATGAAACTTTATGTTTAATAGTTTTGCCACCACAGCAGATCCAGCTGAAGGCCAGAGACCTTGACTGGAGGGGAGAAGTGTCATCCCCTAGATATTAGCACACCTCACTGCAGTCCTGAGCCCCTTGCTGCTCCCTCTCTTGTCTCAGGGTCCCAGCTTGTCTCTCAGGTTCCTGGCGCCTCTCCCTCTCGGTGGGGCCACTGCCATCGTGGAGGCTGGGAAGGAATTCTTGTTGTGCTCATCCCACTGTGGATGGACTAGACCCACTGCCTCTCACTTTCAAACTTGCATCCCAGTATGCAAGTAGCCCACAGCCACTGGCACCTGCAGCTGGTGGGGTGAGGAGCAGATGAGTTCCCCCCACCTGGAGACTGAAGGGCAGGGGCCCCCGGAGGAACTGTTCCCCTCCCACCCATACAGGATGAGAGGGCACTGACTCTTCTACTCCCCGCTCCTCCTCCTCAAACTCACTCCTCTACAGGGAGGAGAAATAGGGCCCCATAGTCTCAGCCCAGGCTAATATTCACCCCTGGAAAGCAGGGGGTTCTCTCAGGCTGTCTGGGTGGGAATGGCAGGGAGGCTACAAACCAGGCTGCTCTTCCCTCCTGGGATGAGACTTATCTTCCATGTGGTACCCCTCAAGTGGTTCCAAGGCTTTTAGCAGTTGCTTCTCTCTGCCATGCCCATGCCACCCCGCCCCTCAGGGGGTGAGGTGGAGCTGCCCCCTTCCCTCTCAGTCAGGACTTGGGCTGACCTGTTCCTACCAGCTCCAGTTCTCAGCAGCTGATGGGGCTTCACAGTGCGAGGCCAATGCTGCCCTGGAGTTAAAAATCAGCCTGAGGGAGCTGTAGAAAGCTGGCTAAAGCTGCAAGCCAGGCCAGGAGCTGGGAGGCGTCCTCACTCCAGCCCCAGGAGGGAGGAGGATGAGTGCTCGCTCATCACACCAGGCCAGCCCTCTCACTTACACAGTGACAGGGCTGCTCTGTCCTAGGCCAGCTCCAGTGCCACAGCTGCATTCCTGCCCCAGGCTGCCTGTTCCCCCTTCAGAGCCCACAGCCGTACTTCTTCAATATAATCAACTAAAGGAGTATTTTACAATAAACCCCATTTTTCATCTCTCCCCCTCGCATCCCCCAATCCCCAGCCCGAGGAAGGAGAGTCCTGAAAAGAGGCAGTCCTCCATGCACCAAGGGAGCCATCCCCAGCTCTGTTCCTCCTCCAGTGTCAAAGCAGCTTGTCCATGCATGATGGGGAATGGGCGAGTTCGCTGGCCCTGTCTGTACAGAAGGGTGCCTGGCCCAGTCCCTACTCCAGGTAGATGTCCTCTGTGGGGCAGGTGTACTCCACATATTCCTTGTAGAACTGCTGGAAAGCCCTCCTGCAACAGACAGAGCAGAGAGCAGGCTGAGGTGCGGTTGCCACTCAGTGCACTGGCAGCTCCCCCATCCAAGCCGTGTGTACCTTGCATGCACATCCCCCCGTTGGTCAGGGATTCTGAACAGGCCTTCAGCCCCTATCAGAATTCAGGGATTTGTTTTCATAGAGTTCTAGAAACGAGCTGGAAAGACTCCATTAGGTGCTTTCTAGTCTATCCCCTAGGGCCTGGGGCACGATTGGCCACTACTGTCTATCTCCCACGGTTCTGTCAGCCCCCCTGGAATGTCTCCAGTGACAGTCTTCGGTCTTTCCTTTTGGGGGCAATCCCTCAGTCTCCTACACATCCCTGTCTACTCCTCTGTGAAGTTTGCACATCTTGTCCCCAAGAGGCCCTGGGGTTTGTTTCAATGCTGTTGGGGTTTGGTTCCGTTTAACCAAGCACAGGCTTGTTGCTGGCCGCCGTTCCTGTCATAGAGGGTTACGGAAGCAGCCTATTCTTGCTGGGCACTCCCAGGATTCCAGGGGGCTGTAAGCTCTTGGGCAATAAGAGGACAAAGGTCTTAGCTCCTGGCAGTCCTGCAAACCCTCCATCCTTTGCTCCTCCCCCTGCAGCAGTGGTATGTGAATGAAGGCACAGAGGCCAAATCCATCCTTGAACCATTCACCTGACATGGCACAGCAGTGGGGAAATGGCAGGGACACAGATCCATAGGCCTCACCACTGAGTAGCTAGAAGGACTCAGCTCAGCCACGTGGTGTCGCTATTGAGAGCATTTATGTGGCACTCAGGGACACAGAAAAGAAAAGGAGTACTTGTGGCACCTTAGAGACTAACCAATTTATTTGAGCATGAGCTTTCGTGAGCCACAGCTCACTTCACGTCTTCATCACGTCTGATGAAGTGAGCTGTGGCTCACGAAAGCTCATGCTCAAATAAATTGGTTAGTCTCTAAGGTGCCACAAGTACTCCTTTTCTTTTTGCGAATACAGACTAACACGGCTGTTCCTCTGAAACCTGTCATCAGGGACACAGAGTGGCACACAGCAGCAGTTCCCAACCTTTCTGGGCAATTGCTCCATTCTGGGGTGGCTCAGGGGACTGGGGAATGGGATCCAGAGCCTTTCACCTCTAGGGCACCTGCTCCAGCCCAGCCCAAGGCAACAGTTATCACCATACAATGCCTCAGCTGGTTGGGGCCTCCTATGAAATCAGTTATTGGCTCTCGGTCCAGTGTCCAAGTCACAAAGCCACAGCACAGCAGTCTTGCTCTAACTGGCCCCTATTCCTAGAGGACGTCAGCCCCCAGATCTTGTCTACACAGCACCAAACTGCCATGGAAAATACTTGAGAGTTTAAGTACCCTAATCCTCACTCTCTCCGGCCGCCCCAACCAGAGCTCCCCACTCCCAGCTCAGCTGGGCGGCTCCAGTCTTAGCCCAAGGTCCATGGCAGGTGAGAGCACCACAATTCAAGGCAAGGCAATAGCGCCTCCCCGGACTCACCCTACAGACTCCGCAAGCGGCTTGGTTGACTCCTCTGAGACGAAGACGTGACAGGCAAATCTGTGGTCAGCTGGGTGTTTGGTGATAAACCCAAAATATCTGGGAGAGAAGAGAGCAGGTGAGGCTGGAGCAGAGGCCATGCAGAGGGCTGCGCTGCAGAGGAAGAGGTCTGCCCACTGCCCAGGCTCTATGCCCCATTAGAGCAACAGCCCAGGAGACAGGAATTACTCACAGCAAGGCCTGACTTACCCTTTGGGAAGGGGTGGGAAGGGCATGGAAACTGGGATCGAGCCACTCTACTTCCGGTGGCAGGGGGACAAAATTGGGCTGGGGAGCGCCAAGAAAGAAGGACTCCAAAGAGTCACTTGTGGCGCTTGTGCAAATGCCCAGCCCTGGGCACGGTGAAACAGGGAAAATTCCCAACCGGAAAAACCCTTCCACTGTCCAGTGACTCAGCTTTGGTCTGATAATCACTCACTGCACCTTCCTAGCCCCATCTTTGGAACCCACTGCAAATACCTTTTAACCCTCACAACACCCTGGGGCAGAAAGCATCCAACTCCCAGGGCTGGTCCATGCCTGCAACTGCGGGGAAAAGTGGGTAGCATTTACAGGGAAGGGAAACCCATAGGAAGGAGGAGGAGGAGAAAGATTATGACAGCTGGAAAGCCCCCCTCTCCCAGGGAACACAACTAAGTCTATAAGTAGAGAGCAGGCTGAAAAGGAAAAGGGGCCTCTCCCCCAGGATCAGGATCATGGAAGCCCTTGACCCCTTGGGCACTCACTTGTTGTTCTTTGGATGGTATCCACAGAAGGAAATGTTCTTCAACTGGAAAAAGTGGCTACATTTATTACCCTGTGGGACAGAGAAAAGAGCTGTCAGACTCAGGCTGCACTGCTAGGGTGATACGGTGCTGCCTCTATGGGGCAGAGGAGGGTAACACACTGCCCATCTCACCCGTTGAGATCCAGAATCAGGTTCCACATGAAAGTGTCTCTTGGTTCTCCATTTGTTGCCATCATAAACCTCCATACAAATGGACACAATTGGTGACTGCTTTGCAGAGGTATGGACTGCAATATAGTGAGGTGCTGCAGGTCAGGACTGGGGAGGCATGGCCAGGGCTGCGGGGAGTGGGGGTGGGTCCAGGACGGGGATAATATATCAGGACCGAGGTGCATGAGCAGGGCTGTGCATGGAGCCTGGGACTGGAATTTCAGGGGGTGTTGTGAACGAGGGCTGAGGTGCCTTGTGAGAGCTGAGGGAAGCTTGCTCAGCATTTGCAGGCACGATTCTTGGCTCTAGCTCGTAGCTTGAACCTCTCCCTGGCATGAGCTTGCAAGAGGCACTGTCTACATGTGAAATCACAACTCTTCTGGGAAGGACTATAGCTACTCTTGTTACAGGTTAGGCTCATGATTCCCATCACTGACAGCTATTAGCGTTCACAGCAGGCATAGCATTTTCTTGTGTGTGTGTGTGTGTGTGTGTGTGTGTGTTTCTTTTGACAGACAAGGTGGGTGAGGTCATATATTATATTGGACCAACTTCTGGTTAGAGTCGAGATACAAGCTTTGAGCTTACACAGAGCTCTTGCTCAGTTCCTTTGTGTTTCCTTTGTGCATTTGAGAGCACTTTTAGCATCAGTGTCACTGTTTGCCCTGTATAGTCAGTTTTTCCCTTGCTGAAAAGACCTTTATAAACCCCAGCCAGGGAG